CCAGAGGGAATTTTGAGGTGTATTCGCCCTTCTCATATTGTTAGTAAACTAATCAATTTTACTGTTGATATTTCAGTAAATGAATCTATAAATGTGGCATGCATTAATATACTATTAAAAGAAATGTTGAGGATGACAGTGCTGACGTTCCGGGTGAAGGGAATGATGAAGTTGACAATGATGAAAATTTTGATGAGGTAAGATAAAGTATATTCTACATATTTTCTACATTTTATGCTGAATAATCATGTGTTTGATTTGGTGTTGATAAATTTTTCTTATACCTGTTGGTTTTGACATTTTGCAGGATTCTATTTTCCTACATCTTAGTGTTGATTCAGATAAGGATTTAAATCAGACAATACCACAGGATGACCTACCTAATGTCTCAGATGACTCTGCTGATGAAATTTTAGACCAAGCTCCTGATCTCCACTTAAGTGTCCCGGAAAAAATTAAGCTGTTGCTGCTTCTTGCAACAAAGAAAAGGCACAAGCTCACATATGCAGCAGCCGAAGATGTTATTGGATTAGCCGGCATCTCTGAGGAGTGTCCCTTTCTGCCATCTAAATATTTAATGAAAAGTGCTATTGAAAAGTATTCATTTGGTCTAACAGAACATCATATGTGTCCTTTCTGTGGAAAGTATATTGGCATCGTGACTGTGAATACTTTCGAATGTAATGGTTGTGACAGAACCACTGATGTAAATAGAAACAAGAAAGATGGCACGACATTCTTGTATTTGAAGCTACGCGACCAGCTGCAATCACTACTCGAGAGCCTCCCAGAAGATGTGGAACTTGGTCCTAGAAAAAGTTCTTGTAAAATTAATCCATTTAACTATGAAGATATTTATGATGGATCTGTGTACAAGCGCATCCATACTTCAGACACAATAACAGTTAATTTCTTTATTGATGGACTTCAGGTGAGAATCTTATGCTATCTTATTTGCTTACAGACAATCAAAGTAAACATTGGGAACGTGGCCTTTACTTATTTTTTTACTCTTCCCGTTTCAGGTTGCAACTACCAGTAAGCAATCTGCTTGGCCAGTTCTTCTCACAGTCAATGAGTTGCCATTGGCCTTGAGAAGGAAACATGTCTTAATGACAAGCCTCTGGCTATCAAAGAAGAAACCTGTGTGTAAAGAATACCTTAAACCATTTGTAGCTGAAATGCGTGAACTGGCTAGGACTGGAGTGACCTACAGAAGAAATGGAATGTTAAAATCAGTTAGGGTAAAATGTGTTTGTTGCATCAGTGACACAGTTGCTCGGCCCATGATCAGGAACTCAAAGCAATTTAATGGTGATTACAACAAATAGTGATCAACTTACAAGAATCTTTACTGACTCAGACCTGTTATTCACATTTTTTCTTTACACAGGAAAATTTGGCTGTGGCTTTTGCTTACACCCCGGTGTTAAAATGCAAATGGGAAAAGGAGAGACTCGGTCTTATACAACCAAAGAAACTGTCTATCAACTTCGAACTCATCAAGAAGTTATGGATCTTGCTGCAAGGGCTGAGACTCTTGGTGTTCCACAGAGAGGCATCAAGGGAGTATCAATTTTATCTGAACTTCCTGAATTTGATGTTGTTCGCTGTATTGATCTTGATTCCTTCCATGCAATAGTTAATGTAGCTAAGCGATTTGTAAGACTTTGGTTTGAGGCTCCACGCAAGAATGCCCCTGTTCCACCTTACAAGATTCACACTAAAATTAGTGAAGTTGATAAGAGATTACTTTCCATTAAACCAACACTTGAAGTATCTAGAGCTCCCAGGTCACTGACTGAGAGGTCAGATTACCGTGGACATGAATGGTTCCATTTTGTTTTTTTTTACAGTGTTCCTATTTTAAAAAATGTATTGCCACAGATTTTCTTAAACCATTGGTCATTGTTGGTAAATGGTCTTGCTATTCTAATGCAAAACTCCCTATCCAAGAGTGATATACATTATGCAGATCGATCTTTACAACAATTTGTTTCAGGCATAGATGATTTGTATGGCCCTCAAAATGTAACTATCTCTTGTCACCTCCTTACTCATTTTAAAAGAAGTGTTGAAGATTTTGCTCAGCCATTCACTCACTCAGCTTTTCTATATGAAAGTTTTAATAATGAAATTAAGGAATCTGTTCACAGTAGTAATGGTGTAGCAAAGCAGATTATAAAAGCAATGCAATTAAAGGTTGCGCTTGTTAAAATGGAAACAGAATTGTCTGCTAACTTGAGTGCACAACAAAGAGCCTATCTAGATAAAGTAAACTCAAGAGGTAAACAATTAGTTGCCTCTCATTTGTGTATAGATTCAGTTGATTTGTTAGGGAGGCCAACTTCAAATATCGTATCACAGGATATGAGATTAGCTATTGCACGAGCAGGGGGAGAATGTACAGTTGAAACTAAATGTGAAATTTATGAAAGATTTAGGATGAATGGAGAAGTTTTTCATTCTACTAAATATTCTAGAGTGAGCAAAAAAAATAACTGTGTTGTCCTTTTGGAATCAGACCAAATATTTTTAATTGAATCTGTTGTTGTTGTTTCCACTAAATGTTTCATTGCAGGGCACTATTACCAAGAAAGAAATAATAGAAAAATATGTAATGTTACTCTTCCTCATTATCGCTTTCTCAAAAGTGAACCAGAGGGAATTTTGAGGTGTATTCGCCCTTCTCATATTGTTAGTAAACTAATCAATTTTACTGTTGATATTTCAGTAAATGAATCTATAAATGTGGCATGCATTAATATACTATTAAAAGAAATGTT